ACCCAGTGGCACGTTCAGATCATCATGGAGAAACTGCTGAGGACTGTGAACAGGACAGTCATTTCCATGGGCCGTGATTCCCCTCACATCGTGAGTTTGAATGATTTTCTGCATCTATTAGCTGTACACCCACAACAAGCTCACTCTCAATCTGTATTTTTTTTTACACACACACACACACACACACACACACACACACACACACACACACACACACACACACACACACACACACACACACACTCCAATTTAGTGGCCCCTGTGCCACAGCCAGTTTAACTCCCACAGGCCCACTGCAACTCAAATTCCATTCCAAAGCTATCATTAAAGGTAAAGTCTACCTTGGCAGAATGCTTTCACACAATCTCAATCTGAGAGTGGCTTTGGTCAGCTCATATCATTCTCTAGCCAGCTGTTTGTGTGCCAGACTATGTGTGTTTTTGTTTTGCTGTTTCATGATTTTTTTTATGTGTGTGTTAGCCTGTTTGTGTGGCTGATCCCTTACTTATTAGAACATTTCTGATTCTCTGAGCTGTAATCTAATCTGTGTACCTACCCATCCCCCCCTCCATTGCCATCAGCATCCTTTCCCCAATCACTCTCTCAGCTAGAGCTTGGTAGCAATTAATGCACTTATCAGTCAGCACATAGATAAGCTGTCTATATGTCTGTCTGATCCGTTTTCATGAGTCCAAAGAGTGCAATGAATGTCAGCTTCTATATTCTTTGAGTCATGAATGTCAACTTCTGCATTCTTTGACTCGTTCTTTGCAGCCTGCTTGTATTCATTAAAGCTGCATGTAGCTTGTGACGTGACTTTGAAAATGAGACTTCGGTAATAAATACATGCAGGTTTTATGGTGGAGATTCCTTTGAGGGCACTTAAAGGTACTTTTACAGCCCACTTAAAAAGAGGTAAGTGATGAGAGAGACATTTTCTCTGGACTTCAAGTATGTATAGGAAAATAGGGAGTCATATGATACTGACTGTTTATTGATACTGTTGCTAGTTGGTGTAGCATCCTTTCTCCTCCTGTCTCGGGTTATTTATCGTGTGTATGTGTTTGTGTTTGTGTGTGTGTGCGTGTGCGTGTGTGTGTGTGCAGGCACAGCACCCTCTCCATCTGTGGAGCAGCAGGAAACAGCATTGCCTGTTTAAATGGAAGCTTATCTGCTGTTATTACCAGTCACTGAGCCACACCAGCAGAGAGTGATTTAATAAAGCCAACGGTAGCCAGAGTTATCACACACTAATCATCCGTGTGTGTTTGTAAGTGTATGTGTTATGTCATAGTGCTATAATACGTCCACAGCACTCATCCTTTGTCCCCTGTGTCCTCTTACTCTCGTCTTCATTCTTCTCTTTCTCTCTCACGTTTTCTTTCTTTCTTAGTAAAGTGATTTTGTATCGCAGAGATTCTCTAGGTGTTCCTTCTTTTTATTTCCACCTCTGTCTAAAGGTATCTCAGCAGTCCACCATGGTAATCGTGTAAATGGATAGCCCTCTGTTGTGTAACAGATCGCCATCGTGTATCACACTACATAACGAAAGCTAATGAAGCTGTGAGTTAAGCTAAGGCCTCCCTGCTGCTCCCTCACTCCTAGCCAGTTGCCTGGAGGGGGTCTAGGACACCCACTAACTCTCCCTCTCTAGCTCTCCAGTCTATTCATTTTTATGCCAGGCGTACAGAATCTGCATCGTCCTGCCTGGCTCATTGTCAGAGAGTTCGGAAAGTCGGATTTGAAAAAGATGTAAGACCTTGTACCAGCTGGCTTTGCAGATCACACTCATATCACTCTGCAATTTTCCCTCTTATATTTTAGTGCAGCGTGGTTCTTTTGATCATGTATTTCAGATATGGAACTTACCTACCACTTTGTCTAAAAGGCTATCAACTCCCATGAAGGCAGCACATGCAGACCTTCTCTCTGCTATATTATGCTAAGTGCATCCATTTCAGCGTCCCCCCTGTGGTGTAGGTGAAATCGCGTTCCCTGCTTCCAGCAGTGGCTGCTGAATGGCACGAAGGCAGACCAGCTTCCTTTCTGGTTAATGAAACTGCTCTACCCATGACCTCCTGTGGACCTTATTGAAACTATCTACTTAGTATACATGTGCTGCAGCTGCCCTCTACCTTACTTCACTCTCTTATACACAGCTTGCTTTTATTGTCCCTACTGACCCCTGCTTTTTGTCAGCTGCCGCCTCTATAGGTAGCTCGTCCACTGTACTTGACTGCCTTGACATTTCTAAGTACCTGCATAATATTTAGCATCAGTGTGAGAGAGAGTGTCCTTTTACCCAGTGGGGACTAGAGGTCACATCAAGGCTTTGTCTTTCTGAAAACACTATAGCTCTTTTACTCACATGCTGTACATTATACATTACGGGGGACAAAAGCTGCATTTGAAGCAGGCCAAATCACTATTTAATGATCAATAAGGTTGGTGTGAATTTTTAACAGCTTTGATACCCAGTTAGGGCTGCTAGAAGTGTCGTAGCTTTATAATCAGAAGACTGTTGTTGCTGCCGCTGGGTACTGCTGCCTACTCTGCAGGCAGATTGCACGCCACTGCTCACACAGCACCGCAGCCAACCACCGACCTTGTTCTTCTGAGTGGCAGCCTCTTACATTTAGATTTATGCATTAACGTTCTACTCTGTCTCCCGCCTCTCTCTCTCCCTCTCTCTTCTCTTTCCTTTCTCCCCTCTCCTGGTGGCGGTGGACACAGAATGTTGATGAGAATGATCACAGTGACGGCTTGGGGACGTCTATTTTGTTGTGTGTTGTCACTGCAGTGCTACGCCTGTTAGCAACTTAGACACAGCTTCGCCGCACATTTGCATCGTTGGACATCCTAGCAGGCGATATCTTTATATTCATGTCCACCCTCACACAGGTTGAGATGAGTCCTTGTGAATACATTTACATTAGGATAGTAGCAGAAACATTTTGGCTGTCCCCGCTGAAATCACCAAGTTCTACCTTTATGCCCTTGAATTACATTTACTCTAGTTTGAGCTTCTGGATGAGCCCTGCAGATACACATGGATAGGAAGCTGCAGCTGGAAAAGTCAGTGTGTTACAGTCTTCTGCAACCAAACCAATGAAACCAACCTTTGTGTTTTTCGTAGTCTGTCATGTTAGCAATGCTGACCTTTGCATATTTGTTATGCATTATAAGCAAACACCTAAATGTCAAAATGAATCATAAAGTATACCTAACAGTCCTGAGGATAAATTGGAAACATTGATAGACAGTTGGCTTTTCCTCAATGTTGTAACCTATTGAACTTTTCATAGCTGTAGTTTTGAGGACCAACTGACAACAGGTTGCAGTGATGGTTGGTTGCAGTGCTTCAGTTATCATGATGACTTTCCTGCAGTGTGCAGAAGGAGTGGAGTGGAAAGCTGCAGGGGAAGGACTCTGTTATTGATTGACAGTATGGGGCTGACCAGCTATAGGGGCCAGAGCTACTTCTTTGCTGCATGCACTCACTGACCGAATACACTATATTGCAATAAAGCTGTCTCAGTGACGTCTATTCAGATGAGAATCCTCTCTTGTATCGTTGTCTCTCTGTATCACTTCCTCTCTTTATCTGTCTTTATGTCTGTTTCTGTCCAAATATTTCTCTTAGCATCTCCTTGCTTCTCTCTTTTTGTCCTCTCTCTCCCCCTCTCCCTCCCTCTCTTTTTCTCCTGCTGGCCAGAGTGCTGCAGAGCTCTTACAGAAAAGAAGCATAGTGAGATATGGCACTGCATCATAATGCCTCAAACATGCACTTATCACTCACTTGCTGCACCTCTACTCTCCTCTCCTGTGCAGAAATTTTGACTGAACATCCTCTTGGGTTTATTGACCCTGCGACAACTCATGTCAAATGTGTACTCGCTGTCAACACTGTGTGAAAACCACTGGGACTCATGTGGTGATGCTCACCACCTTCAAACCGCAGGAGGATTGCGGTTATAGGGTGTAAGAATGCGAGATGTGAAGGTGCGCTGGGTGTCTTCTTTGTAACCTTAGTAATATGTTTTAGACCCTAGGGAAGGCTTGTGGAGATGGCCCTGCTATGGGTGAGAGGAGGGAGGGCAGTGCTGCCCTCCAGCAACATTAGTTCCTGCAGCTTCATGCATCTGTGTGAGGGTGACTCTGCATCTCTGGGGCCTTTACTCAGAGCTTTGTCCCCAGTCTACCTCATGGATTCGCCTCATTGCTGGTCTACGCCAACATCGGACAGGTACACATATGCATGCCAACAGACAAACTTGCCAAAAAGCCCATAGACGGCATTAAAGTGGGGATGATTGGGGCAAGACTGGGGCTGTGAGTGTAAGCTTTGGATCAGAAGCAGGTTCTAAGGCAGTTTGACTTCCTGCACCAGAAGCCCTTTGCTGCTTATCCCTCTGTTGTATTCTGCTCTCGTATTGTGCCGCCCTACTACATCAAAGAGATGCAGGGCTCATTTTAGGTGGATTTTCAGCCTTGTGTCCTGATTGTAGAGTTGATTGTTTTGCATACAGAATGTTCAGCCTAAGCCTAACTAAAATCCTAAATCACGGGGTTGGTTCCCCCAAATTTCAAAAAACATATTTCCTCACTTGCCCCATTGAAGCAGCCATGCAGATAGTTTAGGTTTTGTTCACACGGGTTTTGAGATATTTGATTTCTGCTGACATCCCAATGCAATTGAGGTGGATAACATTTCATTTGTGGTGCTCACAGCATTGAAAAAAAAAAAAAATCATTTAAAATGTAAAAAGCTGCATCTCTTTCCAGAAACAGTGACCCTGACTCTGGATAATTCAGATGTCACAATCCATCTAAACTTCTGCTAACAGCTAAATACGATTAGAAGTCATCAAATATCTTTTTTTTGTCTTTTGGTTGATCTGACCCTTTTAACTGGAATTCGCCTTGATGAAAGTAACATCCTTGTAATGCCACTCTCTATGCTTCGCAAATGATACTCAGTCTTCTTCAGACTTTGAGAGCTCTGTAGATGTCTGTTTTTATTTTTCATATTTTGCATATTAAATATCTTTATTTTTTATTTTAAAAAACAGTATAAAATACACAGTATTGCACATAATAAATCAATTGCACTTCTTTAAGGTACAGATAAACATCTATCTCTCTTGATGCTACAGTATAACTACTGAAAGAAACCAACCTGGCATGTACACGAGTGGAGGTGTGAATCACATGTAGCCAACATAAAGCAGCATGTTGGAGCTTGTGAAAGTCAAACCAGTGATATCAAGTAGTTTGCTTGGTATTGTTGTGACAGTAGATAAAGATACTTCTTTTATGCCCTTGAAACCACTTTGGCCCTTTTCCTGTCTTTTGGGGCAGTGTTTTTGGCATTGAGGGTTCGGTTTTATGCCCCTGCAGGCGTTGTAATGTAATGTTTTTTCTTATACATATTGGCTGCTCTCCCACTCATTAAAATGGTATTAGCCCTATTGGATGCTATACGACAAATATTTATATATAGTTAATGCAAATATTATTTTGGCTGTACATAGTCTTTGAAAACCTGTATGGAGTCACTACATGAGTTTTTACTTTACAGTCGAATAGATGGGAAGCAATGAGCAGAAGCTATTAATTCAAAGAAAGGGGGAAAATATTTTTTTGTCAAATTTCTTTAAAAGCTAGAAAATATCCTGAAAATCCGAGGGTTGTAAAAAGCATGCAAGGCTAGACGCCTGCCCCCCTGCACTGTAGAAGCCCTGGTTGTGATCAGAAGTGGCACATTCTTTCAAGCCTTTCTGGCTTGGTTTCAGTAGCTATTGTAGTAGCTGATGCAGGATACTGCAGCAATGCAATCACAGCTATCTTCTGTTACCTCACATGTGCTAAGAACCAACATTATTTATTATACTCTTGACTGAAACAATAAATCTTTAAACTTTTATTTTTTTTCTGTGTTCAGCCAGAACACTCTATAATGTCATACTGATGAAGTTTGACTGTATGGATTCCCTCTTTTCTTATTATTGGGTTTCAATGACCATATGTATTGTGTAAGAAGTAAATTTGATGTATGAAAAGGAATTAAGAATCAAAAATCATTTACCTTCTATGCACTGTAGTTTTTGAAATGCACATCCCCCTTCACAGCAGCTGAAATAAATATATTCCACTAAACCTTAAAGTGAATGTATATAGATATATATTTATATAGAAAAAAGTACATTGAAGTCTAGCTTTGCAAATGTTATTAAGAAAATAATTGTTATTTATTCATTCTTTACTTCAAAGTCAGTTGATTCAAGGAGACATTTTAGCGATGGATAGAAAGTGGATCATAGAATTCCAATAAACATCTTCTTTGTCCTTTAGGTCTCTTCTTTAGATATTATGAAAGTCTTCACTCTGACATGGTTAGTAGGTGATCTACATGTGTGAGTTAATACTCAAAATAGTTCTTTTTAATAATTCTGGAGAAAATGTATCCTGAACAGTGTTAATTGTGCTTTGCAGTACGGTGATATGCTGTTGATGTAGACCTCAGAGCATCGTTGTTGAATTGTCAACCTCTCCTGGAGGCTGGGAAGAAAGACAAAGTCCCAACTGGTGAATAGAAATCTGACAGTCACTGAACCATTATCATAGAATAGGACCCCATAGACGTCAGCTAGAAAAATATATGCAAATAGACAGAAGGAAATCAAATTTCGTCTTCTCACCTTGCTGATCTCCAAATATGTCGCCCTGGTGTAATTTCACACCCTGTTTGAAGAAATTAGTTCAAAATCACTCTGAATCCATTTTTGGTAAGCATGACATTTTGAATTTTCCATAGAATCCACACTTGTGTCCCATTACACATCCTGTCATCTCTGGGAAGGGGTTCAGTATCCATTGGTGGAGCTCTCCATTAATACTGATCACCAGGTCTACAAAAAGCCAAGTAGATGTGATAAAACAGAAGACAATGGATAAACCAAACAAATATGGGTGCCCAGATGGGCACATAAATCCTGTGCATCAGTAGTAGGGGAAGAGGCGGTCCTGTGTTTTTCACAGGAACCAAAGTTTCCAGCGAGCGTGCTTCTTGGAGTCAGCTTTGGACTTGCGTTTTGGGGTGGAGGTGAAGGCCTCCTGGGGGTAAGGCAGGGGGGGGAAGTGGCCGTCCTCTGTAGGGCAGAGCCTCTTCATCAGCGGCTGCAGCTTGTCCTCCTGCTGCTTGAAGTCCAGCTCCACACTGCAGCAAAGAAACAGAGTCACACAATCAGCTCAAACAGTAGCTAACTGCCTCATGCAGGTATTTACACCACCTCGTCCAATTGCTATTATAATACATGTTAAATAGCATAATCTATCATACATTTTATTGTATCTTAGTAGAAAGCCTCCCTTTTTTCTACTGCTTTCTGTGTTACATTGCTGTTGCTGTTTGCTGCTGTTAATGAAACTCAAACAGTATCATCACATAAGTCACATTAAAGCCCACCAAGCAGTAATAATTTAAGGAGGATTTTTTATTGTGAACCATTTGCAGAATTCATCAGCATAAATTAATCGTGCTAAATGAGTATAGCACACGACTGTGTTATTGTTGTGACTGAATAAACGCAGGAGAAATGTGAATTAGAAGAATGAATGAACTTGAACAGTTCAGGTAGTAGTTATTATATTTTTTTGCACCCATATTATTATTATTATTATTATTATTATTATTATTATTTTGTTTTTAACCTGGTGTTTATTTTGAGTGAGCCCTGGCTGCAAACCTAGCCATCATCTGAATTCTGGATTTAAACTTACTTCTACCTTATATATTCTTTCTCCATCGACACTGAAATCACTCACGTTTCTTTCCTCTTCACGCTTCTTTTAATCTTGACATGTTTTGACTGTCACAGTCCCCCTCTAACCATATTAAGTATCTGCGGTGTGGCCTGACCCCTGCACAGGCATCTGTCACAGCACTGCTCAGCCTGGTAAAGCGACCTACATTTCTCACTTACTTCATCCTTATTCCCAGTAAAATCTTCCGATTTAGACTGTTTTTTTTTTTTTTTTTTTTAGCTTGCCCACCTTGGCTGCTGCCTCTGCCATCACTGTTGTTTTTGTTATTTGCATTCTTATGGCGATTCATAAAGCGAGAGGGAAGCCCATTAGTATTTTTCCCAGTGAGGAGTGCTGGGTCAGTGGAGGGAGTGTTGATCCGAAGATCATTTGCTTTGCTATAGCTGAGATCGGAGCCTGGGTACTGATGTGAGCCTTTTTATGGTTTTAGTTTATATCGTTGCTTTGATCCTGGCACCAAATTTACAACATCAGCATAAGGTAATGCGGACACAGACTGATGTCATTTCTGGGATTTCTGTACACACATCCACAAACGCATCTTTTCCTTCTCAGTGTACTCCACGTTCCCCCAGGGTGCTAAAGGATTTATCTGGATCCAGCCATCATTGTAATCCCACGACCGCGCATATCTGACTGCTAGGTTCCGTTAAGTGAGACTCAGATTACAGCCTCAGCTGTGGTAAGTGTAGGGGGGACTTTAATCTGCTAAAGCTTCCTCCAGCCACTAGCCTGAGTCGGGCTGCAGGGGACTCTAACGGTCAGACTTACATAATGGCAGCACGATCCCCTTCATGAATAATGCAGTTTGCTGGCTAAACTCTACGGTTTACCACTGTGAGAGATTATACAGTGTCAAGGTGAGCTAGGCAGTCGGCTGCTGCTCTGATTGAAATACAAGGAATCAGTAATGATCGTCTGCTGCAACACTAAGACCTTTTTTTTTTTTTTTTTGATGGACAAGCATTGAAAATGTACATTGAATAGAATTCCATCGATAGAAGTACTGGATGTTGGTAATGATTAGTGTTACAGGTGAGCTGTAGGTGTAGATTGTATATACATATGAGGATCTGAAGGTGTGACATTTTCAAATAAGGTACCACAGTAAAATATGGCAGCTTTTATTACGTACATTGATGCTTTTGGCATTGATTAGAACAGAACAGACATAAATGTGGGTGTCTGACAGTGACTCAAGTGAATGTTGGGTGCTGAACCAGACACTCAGCACTTTGCATTTGTTTGAGTCAGGCCTTTACACAGGGGCCAAGAACACTGCAGCTATTAGCAATAAATCACAGGCTGTTAATTACAGTGGTATAAATCTACTTCACTTTGTGTGAAGGCCGTCGGAGTCTGTGTGTGATGATGTTTGTCTGCATGTGGAAACATTAGAGTGTCTGTATATATATATATACATACAAATATATATCAGTGAGTCAAGCTGTATTTATTTCCATCCTGTTTTAGGCAGCTTAAAAAAACTCTGTAATTTCCTTGTATGAGTTGGTTTATGTAGGGCCGATGAGAATGCATGGAGAGGAGGGTCCCTGGACTGCTGATCACGTAGGATGGGTCACTGAAATTGACCAATGAATATGTTACTTGACTCCATATTCCCAAATCTTATTTCATTTGTGCAGCAAGTTTTGTAAATATGTATGAACCTGAGTTGGATCACAACTTAAAAGCAACAGTTAATCATTTGCGATGGTTTGGTTTGCCTGAGTCATTGCTAAATAAAAACCTTGCAGGCCTTGAACCAAATGTTAAGCCCTGCACACAAAATGTCTGTGTTTTGTTTTGCTCAAAATTACTTTTTTGATGCTCAGGCAAAGAGATTTGTCCTGAGGTGCCTCATTCAGCTCAGTAATATCTCCAAAATGAAACCTTTGCTTTGAAGACCTAGAAAAAAGGTGCAGTAATTCATGCTTTGATATTGTTAAACCTAGACTGCTGTTAGTCCAAACTATCCAACGATACAAAAAAAGTGACCGTATTGCTGTTTTTTTGGTTGTCGTTTTTTAGCTGCATTCTGAATCAAATTTACAATGGATTTAAAGATTTCATGTATCACAAATGAATTGGCTCCAGACTACATTTGAGCCCACTCAGGATGCACTTTCAAGTCTGCCAATAAACTTCTCTCATTTCCCAAAACCCACCTTATATTGAAGGGTGATTGAGCTGTAGTGGTCAAAGTCGGCCCTTAAACAGTCTGCCTAACTTGATTTTGAATTCCTTCTAAAGACCTTCTGGTACAAACATGCTTTTACGCGATGTTGTATAATTTATCCTGACTGTTTTATCCAGTCTCTTTTGGATTTTACTATTTGTTCACTTTCTTCCATTTACTGAATCCTTTACTGATGGCTTACTATTAATTTTATTTGTCTTAAGATGTTCTATAAAAGCACTTTGATGCCAGTTTTAGAGGGTTTTTTTTTTCCCTTTGGTCAAGCCCAAGGGAACTAAACTACATGTGTGAACACAGCCCTCAGGGTCATGATGTATAATAAGATCACAATGTCTTCTGAAGTCAAACTCAAGCTCACATATTAAACGTAATTCATGGGCCACAAAATGAACAGGCTCTTGTAGCTCAAATAACTGTCGAAACACAGCATCAAAGGATTCTGTGATCAATGGCTGTGTGTTTGTCAGTGTAATGAGCATGCGGTGGTGTCACTGGTTAAGCGAGTATTTCATTGTGCCTTTTTTCATCTCTTAAAAAACCTTCAATTAATACTGCATGAAGGCACAGAGAAGACAGAGAGACAGATCTCTCTAGTGTTTTTTGGGCATCTTTGGGGAAGTGCTGCAACCTAATGCTGTGTCAGTTTTGAAGGATATGTTTCTCTCTCTCTCTCTCTCTCTCTCTCTCTCTCTCTCTCTCTCTCTCTCTCTCTCTCTCTCTCTCTCTCTCTCACACAGACACACACAGACACTATAACGGTGATAGGATTTTCCCTGCTCTTCAGTGTAAGCCTCTAATACTGCTGAGACCGTTGTTGCTGTGCATCCATGGCTTCAGGTTATTGCCCTGCATGGACACACAGCCATTTAACCTTTAAAAATATGTTATTTTTTTTATTGGTACAAGCATTAGAAGCACTTTTGAATTATGCTCTGAAGTGTGCTTTACATTATCAGTGCATTCCAGTTCATAATACTTGTGTGGCAGTCTTTGTTCAGCTCTTGACTTTGGGTGTGGCTTAATGTGCAGATACTTAAGAACTATTTCAAGATTAGTTGTCAGCCTTACTTATAACTTAGTTATCTACTTTGCAGTAGATATTGGTGTTCACCTTTATCCCTCTTAACCTTATTCTTTGTTGAAAGTGTTATATCAAGTATCATATCAAAGTGGCCAAATAAAGAAAAGAATGACTGCACAACTTGGCACGTCTGCCATGTGGAATCTGTAGTGTAAAGACAATAATGACTACTGGTAATGAGCTGATTACCAAATATATTTATACCAACGAACCCTCATATCTAAATGACAAAGTCTGTAGTCGGTGTTATCCAAAATTACCCATATAGACACGGTTAAACTTATGAGAATATTTTCACGTCTACCACCCATGACGTCTGATTGAAAAAGTACAGATTTATATTCATTCATTTATATTCATATCACATTGTTGGACTCATGATGGACAGTAAACCCCACACCTACATTTATATATTTTTTTCATTCAAATTTGTAGAGTGACATCCCTTCGGGCAATTTATCAGATTCTGCACAAAAAAGCTTTCCACAGCTTCTTTCAAATATGAAGCAATACTTGTTTAAGGTTAAAGAAATATCACCGTCATGGTTAAGGCAAACCAACACTGAATGTTAGGAGGAGATGTGACACAAATTGTGATCTCCTATGTCAAGCAATGTCATTTGTTGCATGTGACTGCAAGAGGTTGCTTGCCAGGAGAACACGTTATGTTTTCTGCAGATATCAAAGTCTATCATTTTTCTAAAGGGGGCAGTCTCTATTTATGAGACGCCGGGTACAGTGATGTGTTAAAACTGTAGATCCAGACTTTCAGTAAAATGGCAGTGACCCCGGGATTAACCTGTGAGAGCAGTCTCAAAAGAATGGTTCCAAGCAATATTGAACATTGCCAGTTTGAATCGTTGCTTCGACATTTGTTGCATGTCAATCCCTCTCTGTCTGCCATGTTTCTTGACAGATTCAATGCTACACTGCCCAGTAAAACATAAATGTCATGACATGACTTGCAAAGAAGAAAAGTTGACATCTGAGCTCATATACACCACTCATCCCGCTTGATACCATGTATATGATGTCAGATTGTAAATAATTATTCAGCTGCAATCATCTGTGCCTTCTCCAGTTCACATGCCTACCTGTGATAGTGCTCTAT